AGAGAGAGAGAGAGAGAGAGAGAGAGAGAGAGAGAGAGAGAGCACGTGTTCCACGTTAAGGTAGCTGCACCACAAGGATAAACACCAACTTGAAGCTATGTTGTTCATTGATTCGGCTAAGTTTAAAAAGCTGTCTTGACTTGAGCCTCTTTGTCATTGGTTCACAGCCATGGAGTGGATGACGAAGCTCAATTCTTTGCTTTAACTTCTCGAGTGTACTATACTCTTTATGTAAGGGGGAGAAATGCCACTAAGTAAGTTGAGGTCATCTACTATGGCTGACTTGAGACACGCCGTGTTAGATCTACAAGGCGTGTTTAAGGCAGGGTCAATTTTCTTTGCATGGGTTGATCTACTCCACACTAGAGAGGAAAATTCTGTTGTGGAGCACCAGAGGGCTGTGCGGATTGTACCGATAGTGATATATAAGATATATATACTTCTCAATGACTAGCATATGAAAATAGTAGAGATAGTATCCAACCCATATGCCGTACAGTTGTGTTCAAGCATGAATCAGACTGTAACGTTTTGTCCTCTGATGGATTTTATCAAGACAAATATAGGGGGTTCATTTTCAAACAAGTATTTATCTAGTTAGCTTGATAGATATTTATGATCATTTCTTAACTTAAAATTTTGTTAGAAATCTAACAATATTGTTAATTTTGTTTAAAAATAGTTGTAAAACTTAAGATAAGTTTATGTTTTGTCTTTATTTAGATTATCTTTTTACAAATATATTTTTAGTTTTATCTGAAATTATATATATATATATATATATATATATATATATATATATATATATATATATACTATATATATTGTATATATATATATATATATTAATGATATTTTTATTAAAATATTTTACATTATGGATGTATTTATATTTATATTATATGTAATATTTATATGTATATGTATGTATGTATACATTGTATGTATTGTGGATGTATGTATTGTGATACATACATATATGTATATATATATATATGCTGTATATAATATGTATATGTATGGATGTATGTAAATGTATGTATATAAATATTACCTCATCACAGAAATATAGATAGATAATGTATGTATATGCTTTGTATGTATATATATGCATGTATACATGTATGTATTGTAGATGTATATATATATATATATATATATCTATTTATATTGTCGATTCTAAATCTGTTCTTTATCTTCATTTGATACATACATACATACATATATATATATATATATATATATATATATATATATATATATATATACAGATTTCTTCTTAATCTATGTATTTTTACAGGATTTATATATTATAAACGCATGAGTAAAAAATCTTTAATACATTATTATACACACACACACACACACACACATATATATATATGGCCTGACGATTGCGTCTAGTATGAAACAGCCTGTTGCCTCTAAGTGTTGACTTCAATGTTAACTTTTATATTTACACGTGCTCTATCCCCTGATATTGAGCACTTTATCCCATAAATATAGCACACTTTAAAAACTATATTTTTCATATATATATATATATATATATATATATATATATATATATATATATATATATATATATATATAGAGAGAGAAAAGAAAGCAAGACAATGGGAGAGAAAAGGAGAGAGAAAAAGAGAGTAAAAAAAATTGTAAGAGTGAGATTAGTAGATTTTTTTATATCAAGTATAATAAGGCTTGACTTTTGATGGAACTAACACTTATCTTTCTTTTGATTGCTTTCCACCAGTTATTTTTTTTTCATCCCAATGAAAAAAAAATACTCTGAGAAATTACAGGCTAAATCATTGTAGACAATAACTTTGTCCCTGTGTTCTGAAATATATCAATATATTTTTTATTGCTTTCTTTCATTTGACATTCCACATTTTGTTATGTTTAGAATCACGTCTGGTCAGAAGAGTACATTCAATGCCCCAGTAATCAACGCATTTTTCTTTCTGTTCTACACCTTACATTTCGATTATTCAACGGATATTCTGATTATTTATTTGGAATTAGTTCGATATATCCTTTACTTTTTACGAACTTATTTTTTACAGATTTCTTCTTAATCTATGTATTTTTACAGGATTTATTTATTATAAACGCATGAGTAAAAAAAAATCTTTAATACATTATTATATATATTTTTACAACACTTGCAAATAGTAACCAAAAAACCGAGAGACAAAAAATGCGTTATATAAATGAAAGAAAAAAGAAGAAAATTTAAACGCTTTATCATTTTTTATGCTTGTAGAAAGAAATAGTACTTCTACTTAGATTATATGCTAATATTTCAGTTTACTTTCCCATTAGGACAAATTTTATAAGGATTAGAACACATAAAATGCGTCTCCTTAAATGAGAGACAGAACTTTATGAAACATTTCAAACCCACTGAAAGTCATGCCTATTTTGGGCCTGTTGGCTTAATTTAAAATTTTATTTTAAGGCCATGTCCTTCCCAGCTTACTTTTCTTTATGTTTGGATTACTATGTGGTCTTTGGAAAAATAATGGAGTCGTTTCCTGTTGCATTCCACACGGTTTTGAATCAATAATTTTCCTTCTCATAAACTGAAACTGACTGCCACCCAACTCTAGAGAATGCAGTCTAACTTTCTATTTAACCCCTAGATGGGAGCAGAAGAAATGGATTCATTCCTATTCCATGGAAAAGTAAATATGCGATAATAGGCTGGAATTTGAACATGGTCCACCGATTCCAGTTTTCCGCTGATAACCGCTATACTACCAGTATATTTATCTTTTTACTTAAGTAACATGTTCTGACTTTTTCCCCTCTAAAAATGGGAGTAGAGGTTAATGATTTTCTGTGGAGTATTAAATGTCATTTTAAACAGAGAAAATGAAAAAAAAATGTATCAGAGTAAACCTGTATCAACTTCTGACCAAGTGGATTGCCATGATATATAGTGAAGTGTTTTCTGCGCAGTTTCATTTCTTTTATTATCTGCGAATTAATTAGTAGCCGTAAGTTCTATGTTGACAGTTTCTTTTCTCGTACTTCTCGCTTGTGGATCTCTTTTCCGGCTCCATGCTTTCAAGTCAATTTTAATCTTCAAAAATTTAAATGCGATGTCAATCTCTATCTACTGTCCTTCTGATTCCTCGCCTTTTGTTCTTGCTTCTTAGTAATGTTTTTGTTTTCTAATTCTTCCACACCTAGTAACTACTTGTACCTTAGTGGCTTTACTGCCTTGCTTGGTGCGAATCCGATTAAAAAAAGAAGAAAAATATTGCTGTGACCTAATGGAAAAGATTGTAGAGTGGTTTACCGTTGTATTCTCCAGTAAGCACGTCAAAAATGATTGGCAACTATAGATTTTTTCTGTAAAGTGTTGTTGCAGCTACAAGGCAAAAAACTAAAGTTCGTGATTTTATAGCGATTTACTAAGCGTATATTAGATGTGGCACAAGGCCGAACGTATAGAGCACCCAGTGAGGATCATTACTCCTCGTGCCTTCTATATAGTCTGTTCACGCCTATCAAAGAGCTTAGGTCTTAAGGGCCACTTTAGAGTCTTAAGTGTCAATACTTAACAAAACGACAGGTCAGTTAAAGTGCCCGGATATCATTAATAACATGTCAGAACAAGTCAGATAAAGTAGGCGCGATGCTGCTATACAGTTGCAGCTTTGACATTAGAATGAAAATTATTTAATCATCTGTCTGACTTTTCACTGTAATTGCTATCGGATGAAAGTAAGCAGGTAAGTATGTATTTATTTACAGGGTGATTGAAAAGTAACTCCCTATATTAAGTATGAGTGGCCAGCCAGGAGTCTTGACATAACAACTTGTGATTTTTTTCTTTGGGATTGGTTAAAGGAGCAAGTCTGTTATACCAAACCAATACTTTCGATGAACTTGATGGGCGAATACAAGAAGTCATGTCTTCCATACCACAAGAGTTCCTGGTGAAATTAGTTGACACAATTACTGAGCAAGAATCTTGTATGAAATTCAGTGCCCATATTGAATTTTAAACAAAACTTTATGCTAAATGCTTTCCTCTCATATTCATTTCTTGTAAAAACTATACTTAATAAATAAATAGTAAGTATTTTAAAATAGGGTATTACTTTTCAATCACCCTGTATATATGTTTAATCGTTGTTTTATAGATTTCTTTCTTAAATTTAATTTATTAAAGGCTAATTCCTATTCAGTACTTATTGAAAAGTGTATTTGCTATAATCGCTTTTGAAGACTAACTGCTTACCAGACACACTCTTTGTCTTTCTCTGTATTAGAAAAGTTTGCTTGAATGTGCTTTTTTTAATTAAATATTCATGCAGTGCAAGACTCAAGAGCCACTCAAGGAAGAGGATTACTAAATGAAATTGCTATATGGACATAGGAGAGGGAGGGGAGAGTAATTATAGATTATGAGGACAGGTAAGGATTGATTTACACTTAAAGAGATTAAGATTTTCGTTTTCGAGGAAGAATACTCCTATAAAGTAGTGGCACTTAGAAAGAAGCTGTCCAAATAGATCTACATCCTTACCAATGGAATACAACCGAAATTTAGATGGTTTATCGCGATGTATGTCTTAAATGTCTGAACTGATGAGAACTATGTAATATCACACGTCAGAACATTTTTTCATATTAAGAGACTAGCCAGAGGTTTGCAACGTTTCATTTGTAGAAAAGTGGATGTAAAGGGGAAATAATTAATCGTCTACAAGGTTGCATAAATGCTTTTGAAGGATGGAAAAGGATTATGTCCAGGTGATATATGTATGTATCTCTGTGTGTGCATACGTGTATATATGGGTGCGTTCGTGTGCGTGTGTAGTTATGAGTAAAGGAAAGTAAAAGGAAAATGTGTTAAATGAGAGAATATAAACAGAGAGAACCGGGAAAAGGAATGAAAGAGATCGAGAAGAAAAACAGAAGGTGGCTAGGAAAAGAATGAAGAGACGAAAGGGAAAAGAAAGAGAAAATAAGTTAAGTATTTAAGGCAGTGAAAAGAAAGGGAGAAAGAAAGAAAGAGGGAAAGAAAGAAAAAAGAGAGAGAAAGGCAGAAAGAAAGAGAGAGAAAGAAAGATAGAAGAAGAAAGAAATACAAAAAGAAAGAAAGAGAGAAAGAAAGAGAGAAAGAAAGATAGAAATAAAGAGATAAAAAGAGAGAAAGAGAGAATGAAAAAGAGAAAGAAATGGAGAGAGAAAGAAAAGAAGAGACAAAGAAAGAAAAACAGAAAGAAAGAGAGAGAAAAAGAAAGAAAGAGAGAAAGAAAAAGAGAGAAAGAAAGACAGAAAGAAAGAAAGATAGAAAGAAAGATAGAAAGAAAGAAAGCGAGAAAAGAGGAAAGAGAGAAAGGAAGAGAGAAACAAAGACAGAACGAAAGACAGAAGAATAAAAAGAAAGACTGAAAGACAGAAAGAGAGAAAGACAGAACCAAAGAGGGGAGAGAGAGAGAGAGAGAGAGAGAGCTAAGAAAGAGAGAAAGAAAGAATGACAGAAAGAATGATAGAAAGAAAGAGATAAACAAAGAAAAAAGAGAGAGAGAGAGAGAGAGAGAATGAGAGAAGAAACTAATTACAAAAAAAAAAAATCACTGAAAATTTCAAAAAAGGTTCATGAAATTTTATCAAGGCAAAAATAAAATGAAAATAAACTTCACTGACATCTACCATCGTCAAAGATTGAAATACAACGCCAGTTGCCATTTTCTATCTTCCAGGAATATGTTTTTTTATTGGCTTCTTTTCCTTCTCTTCCACTCCCAGAAACCCCTTGTGTCTTTATGACATTATCGCCTTGCTTGGGGTGAAATAATTAAAAAAAATAACAGAAAATAAAATAAAATAAAATAAAAAGATAAAAATTGTTGAAAAGTTATTCAAACGTATTATTTCTATTATAACGCCACTAAAATAGCAAGCCATCTCATACGGATAGGATTCATTAGATCAAGGAATAAGTCTGCAAGTGCTAAATTCAAAGATTCGGTGACAATGATCGTAGAATGCTTGTAAGGATAATGTATTATTGAAGGTTCAAAGATTTATCTAACAATTCAATCAGGAAAAGCGCAAACACTGTCATATACAAAAGGATTAATATAACTATAGTTTAAAACGTATTTAGGATCAGTATTTTGATCTGACATTGTCAATGTATAATGTTCAATCTATGAGACTAATAATCAACACATCCAGAAAGAAGAGAATTTTGTTGAAAAAGAAATATTTCTTATGGAAAATAAATGCTTCTTTTCATTATTTTTTAATTTGTTTTTATTAATTTCACCACAAGCAAGGCAATAAAGCCACTAGGACGCAAGAGTTTACTGAGTGTGAAAGAATATTAGAAAAAGAAAAAAACATTATCGAGGAGAGAGAACAATAAGAGAATAGGAATTAAGAAGATAGAAGATAACGATTGACACTGCATTTGATTATTTTTTTCTCTAAGCAAGGCAATAAAGCCACTAAAACGCAAGGAGTTACTGAGTGTGAAAAAATACGAGAAAAAGTAAAACATTATTGAGGAGAGAGAAAAGTAAAAGACCAGGAATAAAGAAGATAGAAGATAACGATTGACACTGCATTTAAGTTTCAATCATTTCTCTCCAAGCAAGCCAATAAAGCCACCATGACGCAAGGGGTTACTGAGTGTGAAAGAATATGAGAAAAAGAAAATTATTATTCAGGAGAGAATACAATAAAAGAACAGGAATTAAGAAGATAGAATATAACGATTATCGTTGAATTTACATTTTTAAAAATCAAAGTTGGTCAGGAAGGCAAGAAGCCGGAAGAGAGTTCCACAAGCAAGAAATGCAAGAAAAGAAACTGATAGCATCGAACAATTTTTACAGTCAGGTTCACCCTGTACAAAGCCGGGGGGCACATGTGACAGAGCGTAACGTTAAGAGAGAGTTTATACGGACAGAAGTGGGGAGATAACGGTTATTTCTAGACTTGAACCGGTTAAGATCCTAGTGATCTGGAAAACATCCTCTTGGGAGACAGTTCCACAGAGCAGTGATTTGCAGGAAGAAGCTATTCGAGTGAATCTGACTTCTCATAGATGGAACACGGAGGGAATATAGATGATTTGGTTCAATATAAGTGGCATGGCGGAGCCAAGGAATATAGTTCGTCTAAGTACTTTCCACGGTAGTACCGACAGAGCAGTGAGAGGCTAGTCACATCTCGCTTGTGAGAGAGCGGTTGGAGGGTGGAAAATAATTCGTCATCCAAAAGGACTCGAGGACGCTTTTGAACTCTACTGTACTTGTGAGGACGTCTACACTTGGCCATTTCAATAGTAAAATGATGAGACCTTGCCGCCAATCTAGTACTGCGCTTAAATTCGTGAAATATGAAAATATTTATAGAAAAGTCACATGGCAGCTACATTACAGTGGTGGGAAAACCACTGAAGCCGAGATGACAGGCTAGAACCAACAACATTGCAGATTCTTCTTTTGATTTTATCAAAAATCTCTAAATATGTAGCAGAAATAAACGTCAGACAGAAATGTGACGGCAATATTCGATGGATGAATATTATGCTATATACGCATTAATATACCAACGTACATGCAAACAACTAGAGCAACTTCTTCCTGCGAACCACGGCCCTGCGGAACCGTCTCTCAACAGGATATTTCCCCATTACGACAATTTTAATCTGTTCAAGGCTAGGATTAACCGTGATCTTCCAAGCAAATAGCCTCAAAACGTAAACATCTACCTCGAGTGACCCTCGAGCCTTGCAAAGGTTGAACCTTACTGTAAAAAAAAATAGCAAAAAACAAAAAAAAAATAACAACAAAAAAAAAATCGTACGCACAAAAGCATATATACATACGTCTTTCTTTTTATGTGACATGTCCTTTCAGGACTTAGGCGATCATAACTCTCCACCTCCCCCTATCCATTGCGGCTCTCAACAAGTTCCTTCCCTCTGCTTCCTACTCCAGACCACGTTCTGTCATCCATTTGCTTAAGCCCGCCATCTATGTCACGCGTTGCTTCCCTTGCCTCTTTTTCCCTCTATTCGACTCGTGGTTATCAGATTCTCCAGTCCCTCTTTCCTCATTAGGTGTCCCAGAAACTTCAGCTGCCTCTTCCTGATGTTAAGTATAAGCGTCCTTCTTGTTCGCAACCTCTCTAAGATCTCATCGTTGCTAACACACTCGGTCCATGACATCCTTAGCATCCTTCTGTATAACTGCATCTCTGTCGCCTAGAGTCTTTTCTTCATCTTTGAGGAAATCGTCCAACATTCGCTGCCGTAAAGAAGGATAGATATCATGTAGCAGTTCAGTATTTTCTTTGTTACCAAAGAAATCCTCCTGTCTCGGCACAGCTTTATTTTTTATTATTTAAAGGGTCCTATACATACGTACCTGATCTATCAGGCTTTATTATCTATTTAAACGGTCCTATACATGCGTACCTGATCTATCGGGCTTTATTATCTATTTAAACGGTCCTATACATGCGAACCTGATCTATCGGGCTTTATTATCTATTTAAACGGTCCTATACATGCGTACCTGATCTATCGGGCTTTATTATCTATTTAAACGGTCCCATATATGCGTACCTGATCTATCGGGCTTTATTATCTATTTAAACGGTCCTATACATGCGTACCTGATCTATCGGGCTTTATTATCTATTTAAACGGTCCTATACATGCGTACCTGATCTATCGGGCTTTATTATCTATTTAAACGGTCCTATACATGCGTACCTGATCTATCAGGCTTTATTATCTATTTAAACGGTCCTACACATACGTACCTGATCTATCAGGCTTTATTATCTATTTAAACGGTCCTACACATACGTACCTGATCTATCAGGCTTTATTATCTATTTAAAAGGTCCTATACATACGTACCTGATCTATCAGGCTTTATTATCTATTTAAAAGGTCCTATACATACGTACCTGATCTATCAGGCTTTATTATCTATTTAAACGGTCCTATACATACGTACCTGATCTATCAGGCTTTATTATCTATTTAAACGGTCCTATACATACGTACCTGGTCTATCAGGCTTTATTATCTATTTAAACGGTCCTATACATACGTACTGATTTCATCAGGCTTTATTATCTATTTAAAATGCAGACGAATAAAATGTGGGCGTGGAACCCCCATATATATATATATATATATATTTTTTTTTTTTTGTTTGATTGATCTGAGTTTGTGACCCTGGTTTCACGCTCTTGAGATCGTCAGACAAACAGAGTTTGAATATGTTAGCTCTATCTCCGATATTGAGCGCTTTCTAATAAATACAGCGCATATAATATATAAATAATAATATATATATTACACACACACACACACACACACACACACACACACACACACACACACATATATATATATATATGTGTATATATTTATATATTTATATTTATATACAGACACTTTTCTCACACACACACACATATATATATAAATATAAAAGTGAACATTGAAGTCAACATTTAGAGGTGACAGGTTGTTTCATGCTAGACAATCGTGGCCTGACGATTGCGTCTAGGATGAAACAGCCTGTCGCCTCTAAGTGTTGATTCAATGTTTACTTTTATATTTACACACGCTCTATCTCTGATATTGAGCACTTTATCCCATAAATATAGCACACCTTAAGATTATATATATATATATATATATATATATATATTGGGGTGGCGAGAGATAAGGGGGTAGGGAGAGAGATATAGAGTGAAAGAGAAAGATTGAGAGAATTAATGTGAAGTGAATAATAACTAAATAAACCCAAATAAAAATAAAACCTCTCAGGACGGCCGAGAAAATCTTATAATGAAAAAATAGACGTATTGTTTCGAATTATTTTTTGTTTGGGTTACTAAGATTTCCTTTGATTAAATATCTCTACCACAAACACTCCTGGCTCTCAATTTTGACAGTCTGTACTGAAATGAAGGATTTCAGTTGACATCTCAACGGAAAACGATTGAAATCTTTTGTAAAAAATAAAGAAAAAATGTCAAGTACATGACATCGGATTACCGACTACTCTTCGCTGCGTCAAGACACGAATGTTGCTTGGTATCTATCTATCTATCTATCTATCTATCTGTCAGTGTACTTCATTTAAATGCTATGAAGGATTTTTAGATATGATGATATCTTCGTCATTAAAATTGGCTCTTTAAATACGGAAATTACTTATGACTCAACCTGCTTTATCTATCTATCTATCTATCTATCTATCTATCTATCTATCTATCTATCTATACATATATAGGTGTGTGTGTGTGCATGTGAGATGATCTTCATTTTTTTCTTAATGCTGTTTGCATTGAACCCTTTCTGTTCATTTTTATTACGCTCATTCCCTCTCATTCAAACGATGATACTAAATATATTAGACGATTGGAAAATTTCTTCTTTAATATATTTCACGGATGGTCGTCTATTCAAACACGTATCCACTATATATATATATATATATATATATATATATATATATATATATATATATTTAAATTTCTGCAAGTTTCAAAACAGTTGTGACAGTTTATTTTTATATATAAATTTATTCAACCCAAACTTAGAACTAAAGAATGCCACACTTATTAAGAGAGAAAGTAACTTACATAGACATAGAAAATTCTTGAGAGTGCCATTATCGAATCTTACCAAAATATAATCTACGTCCAGGATTTATTTTAAAAATACCCTAAAAGAAATACTTATATATCAAGCCTGTATACGTGAATATAAAATTAAAAAAATAAAAGAAAACAGTGAAATTCAAAAATTCTATAATTAAAAGTATATAATACATAAATTAATCTCAATATAAATACAGTAGAATCCCTGATAACCAGACTAAGAAGGCCTGTCCGGAAATGCGGGATTCTGGATATGAAGGATTCCGGACATGAGGGATTCTACTGTAGTATTTACATTATAAAAATAATCAAGAACAACAACATTTAATCACTTTCGTTTATTAGATATTAAATTACATCATATAGCGTCTTTCATTTTCTGTTAGCCTGATATAAAATTAAAATTCGTAGCTGTTTATTGTG